TAACACTTGGCGCGTAATAAGTACACAGTGAATACACTTCCTTCCCCACCATTCTGTCTTCTTTATTCATTACTTCTTTATTCCCCTCTAGGTCTCCTCATTAGCTGTCTAGCCAAGATCTCACAACTGGGAAGCTACAAGGCTGACATATTGTTGCAGCCCATAGTTTTGGCCCCTAAGTGGTAATAATTGATATGTCCAAATGATGTTAAGATTTCGAGGCCACCTTTAGCACAGAAAGTCATTGAGTGACTTCATCAACAATGTCCCCTCAGTAACATCTTCTTTTTACATAAATTTGCAAGTTGAGGAAAGGATTTCTTTGTTATGTTTATTTCTAACTAAAGATGTTTTACATGTGTGCTGACTTAAAAAAATTCTAAAGGTAGGAACACTTTTCTTGGAAAATTTAGAAAACTACTGAAAGGCATGAAGAAGAGAAGCATTCTTAGGATAGGATATTGAGTTAAAAATCTTCTCTAACCAATTTCCAACTTGCTACATCATGACCAATACTCACCATTAACCATGAAATAAATGTGATTTTCCTTTTATATTAGAAGTTACAGTGAAGATATTTTGCAGTATTTTCTATACTTTCTGGAATTGCACATAAGTAATGTTTTATAGTAGCAGATGTGTGACATCATATGAAAAACTTGTAAAACCTTTACATGAAAATCACATCTGCCAGTCCCTGCTATCATTTTAGCTATAGCTCTATGGTCTGCTTCTCTTTCTGTGCCAGAGGAGGCAGCTTTGCATGAAAGCTGTCCCAGGAAATTGTGTCTTCTGGACTAGCTAGTTAAGCAAATTGTGTAACTGCCATTAAAACCAAAATGTACCCAGCAGACATAATTTCACAAAAGAGGAGAAAAAAACACATTTGTACAAAAGTCACAGCTGTTCAACTCTACATTTTGCACTTTTTGCATTCAATTTATTTTCTTTCTTATGAACAGTGACAGTTACATTTCTAGTTAGCAGCTTTAGGACTTCTTAATACATTGCTAAGTGCTGTACTACCATAGATCTGGTGTCCTTCAGGAAAAATTGGGCTAAGTTCTCTCTGCTGCTACATGGAGTAAAAACTTGGTTCATCTGCAGATGAAATAAGAGGAGATGTTGAATAGGCCCATTGTCCTCTAAAATCCAGAGTTGTGTGGCTGCATCTGCTGCTGCAAACAAGTATCCGCATTCCTGTGTAGGTCCATATCATAAAGATTTCTTTTCTTTCAGGTCTTGCTCCCAGTGACCATCTTGCCCGGGTCTACTCTAAAGTATGAGGCATGGCCCTAGAGACTTATGATGCTGGGTCAGGAGCTCATCTCACAGGATGTGTGGGCAGCATGTCCTCCCACTGCTGGGCATCTGGTTTGGAACTGAACTAGTGGGGCAGGGATCAGTGAGGAGATGTTCTTGAAGGAGTCCTCATTCTTCCCCAGTGATAAGTCTCAAAGGCTTTATTGGACCATTATGATACATGCTGAATTTATGGGAGGTGTTTTGAGCCAGAATTTGGAATCTGAGCTTTGCAGCCAAACTGCCTGGGTCCGCATTTCATCTCTTTGTCTAAAAAATGTGTGATACTGTTTAAATTACTTCACTTTTTCAGCCAGTAACAATTTACTTTTTTTTTTTTAATCACTGTGGAAGATTAGAAATGTTGTAAAGATTATTGAGCACTCAGCCCAGCTCATGGCACATGCTAAGTACTCAATAATGTCAACTATTGTGATGGGTTGATGAGCCAGTTTTTTCTGGCTCTCAAATATATTAAATCTATAGTCTTAAAAATCTTAAGAGGGAATTTGCATGGGACAGAATTATGACATAGTAAAGTCAATTACAGTGTTCAAAAGCTGTTCAATCCAGGGCTTTTTAGTTTCTAGCTGTGCAAACCTTTTCTCCTGTTGATTGCTAGAATTCCTATCTGCCTGTCTGTGGCAGACAGGAAAATGTATGTTCATGTAGCTGTGCCAGAAGCACAACACTGATTTCAATCTGGCGTGCCTGGTTGATGGCAGAGCCCATTTTGTAACTTCTGCTCCTGATTGTTGGTCTGTTTAAAGAGTGTCTGACTGCTAAGGTGGCCCTCTGGAGTCCATGCATATGGCTTATTTTACTATTGGTAGGGAAGGTGGAATGCTTTTCATATCTTGTAAGCAGCACCTCCAATTGCATAAAGGGCTATGTAATTAAATATTAAAAATAATAGCTCTTGGGACTAGGGTTGTGGCTCAGTGGTACAGCGCTTGCCTACCACTGGGGAGGCCCTGGGTTTGATCCTCAACACCACATAAAAAACAACAACAAACAAAATAAAGGTTAAATTCTTAAAAAAAATAGCTTTACAGAGAAACCACTGCCCATTGTCATTAATAGTGTTAGTGAATTGACATTTTCTTGATAACTAATTTACAATAATTTTGCTTTGTTAAATTAACTAAATATTAGTTTTAAAATATTTAAGTATATGATTCCTTAAGATGTTGTCATTAATATCATTACGATAATGAACAACAGAGTTGGAATTGTGGCTCAGTGGCAGAGCCCTTGCCTTGCAAGTATGAAGCACTGCGTTCGATCCTCAGCACCACGTCAAAATTAATTTTGAATTATCTATCATTTGAATTATCTATCATTTGTCCCAGTTTTCTTCATGGCCTGACAATGATATCTCATACATCTACTTACTGATATTGGTACGGTCTTTGGAATCCTGTACTGGGGATAAAGTCATGGCAGAAAGTAGAGCTGGGTGCAACCAGAAGGGAGAAGACTATTTTGACTCACTAGAACCTGTATATATAACCTTATAATCACTTGAATTCTAAAATTATTAAATATGTCATTCTGATCTAATTATATAAGACATGATTGACTCCAGAATAATTTTCTAAATATACCTATGATACATGGAAAATGAAGTGGAGAAATGTAAAGATACATATAAGCAAAAAAAAAAAGGCAACTATTCAAAACATAATTAGGATAAGAATAAATATTTTTAGGGTTATAGCCAACATCCACTTTAATAATTAGCTATCAGTGTTCTACCAGCTGCAGGTCTTTGGTTGAAGAACATATACCTCAAAGATCAAGAAGGTAGGAGATATAGGTTTCTGCTGTGTGATGTCTCACCCCTCTGACAGATGATCAGGATGGAGGAGAAAGATTAAATACTGTTTCCATAATGGAAATTAGCTTGAGGGAATTTGAAGACATGGAAAAACAATCTGGAATAAGACAGGGATCAGCACACTGTGATCCCAGAACAAATCAGGCCAGTTGCCTGCTTTTGTAAATAAAGTTTTATCGGAACATATCCTCACCCATACATGTAAGTGTTACCTATGGTTGGTTTCAAGGTACTAAGGCAGAGTATAGTAGTTGTGAAAGAGGCTACATGGGCCCCTACAATATTTTCTATCTGAATCTTTATGGAGTTTGCCAACATATGGATGAAGGAAAGGGTTTTAATTAAATTACTCCCAAGATAATGTATTAAAGGTGAGACCTGATAGGTCACAAACCTCAGTTTTCTCTCCTTTCATGGAACTGTTTTGGATTTCAGATGTAATAATAGGCTTAGGAATAGTGCAGTGTGATTCAGTGAATTAATACAACAGTATTTATTAAATTAGTGTTGAATTTATTCGGGCACAGCAGCTCTATTGTTATTAAAATATGTAAGTATATTAGTTGATTAGCAGTTTAGTGGGCCTGAGAGTCCTCATAGATATTTACAAATGATTCTCCTTTGTTTAGAGATATCTCTGTTGCATTTTTATCTTTTTTACCTATGGAGTGTCCAGGTGATATTAGACATTAGCTACCATATAAGAAGATTCCTTGTGGCAGATGAGCCAAATTCACCTCGAGGGTGAATCTGGAAATGATGGATTGTGGTGCCAAAATCGGGGCTTGTCCAAATGAAAATGGTGGGTCAGAGTATTCGAGACAAGTGCTCAGATGGGAGAGGCTCAAGGGCAGGGAGCACATAGGTCTTACTTCTTGGCACATTTTCAATGCAAAAAGAGCTTGATACCTAATAAAAGCTCAGTAATGTTTGACTGTTGTTACAAAAACAATTTAGTAAAAAAGCCATAATCTATAACCTTTGACCATCTAAATTATTACTGTTACACAGAACATAGTTAGCAAAAACAGAGTTAGATCTTGAAATAGAATGTGAGAAGAGTCTTTTGTGTTCCAACCTCTGCCTTTCCTGGGCTGTTTATTTCCCATAAGGAAGATGCAGACTTTGCTACTCACCTAAATAACTTTAGGAACACAATAGATAGGAATAAAAATATTTTCTCTTTTAAAAGAGGAGATTCTGGAAAAATAAATCCTAAATTTAACTTTTGAAAATTATGGATATTATTTGATTTTCCCAAGAAAAATCTTTATCAATAATTTAGAGCCTAATAGGTTCTTTACTTCGAAGAAAAGGATATGTAGATGGAGATAGTTTGTATTACATAAGGTAATATCACTACAATGCATCTTCTATTAAGTAACATAAAGGTCCAGTCTACTGAAAGAACACTATTGACTTGAAATGGGGTTTTAAAAGAGAGAAAAAAAAAGCCCAAATTTTATCTCTCAAGTGGAAACTATGATGCAGTTAATTGGCTTTGAAACCCAGGTTAACAAAATATCTCTTTTGTACAACCAGTCAGCTCCCCAAATTTTGATTGCAAAATGAAAGGCATTAATTTGATATCTTTAATTATCACTCATTTAGAGGACAGTGTGAAATACACTTTCTCAATTGGTGTTTTTTGACTCATGAGTCAAAGGAAAGGAATGAGAAATTAACCAGCTGCAGAAGCAAGAAACAGCAAGAGGTGCTGGTAGAATCTTTGTGAATACTTCAAAGTAAGATGAAAGGGAAATAAAGGGGCTGTTAGCCACACATGCTCAATAAATGAAATACTAACACAATTTCACAACATATTAATAACAAGTTAATATCACGCTTAGAGACTTACTCAACATAATAAGTGCCATATATGGGATCATCGATCTTTTCCCAGCCATATGGAAGCTCTGAAAAATAAAAAGTTATATCTTTCAGTAAATAAAGCGCAGATACCACCATTTCCTAATAAAAGTAATATAATTTAATTGTTCATAAATTGCAGAAACCGTCTACTAAAGCAGACTAAAACATTCAGAGTTACCAAATTTCAGACACATATTGTGGAGACTATAAGAAGCACCGATTTGAAAATTGGCAGATAAAATACAGAGCTCTCTTCTCTGCAGATATACTGCTGGGTCTAGCTGTTTTTTCTATGCCAAGCAGTAGGATGGCACGTCATCATATTATCACCATCCAGGGCGACACAGAAAGCAAATCACTTTTCTGAAAGTGCAAACAGATTATTTATTTGTATTGTTAAAGGCACATTTCAGAATAAAGATTGTATTTTCAAAATATATTTCTGAGCATAGAAAATTGTTTCTGATGGCTGAAACAAAGACATTATAAATTCTCAATTGATATCCCACTATTCTAGACTGTTAGCTTGCTGTTCACTCCACATGGGTCATGATTTGAATGCTGCCAGCATGTTCTCTGGGGCATATTTTAAAAATAAAGTCTAAAATTGTAAATATACTTTCCTTGACAATATATAGCTCACATTTCCTACTTTTCATGGTTCATTTTAATAGACACAAACATTGAAAATATCACAGTACTATAAATGCTACTACATGCAAAACTGTACTGTTTGAAAGCTAGGCTTTACTTCATGATACTGTTTTTCACATACACTGAGCCTGTATAATTAACTGACAAATATGAAGAATGTCATATTTTTTGATAGATATTAATTTACACATATATAATTTGAAAACTAAAATACACTAACATGATTAAGTAGTATATTTACAAGTGAAATTTAAAAGTTTTATTATTACCGTAGTAACACATGTCACCACAGACAAAGCACAGTAATAGAAATTAGAATTACATGCAATCCTGCCATCCAGAGATAACTACTGTTCATATTTTTGTGAATATCTTTCAAATAGTTTTTTATGCAAATAATTTTGAAAGGGATATTATTTTTGTAGCCTGTATTTCTACTTGACAGAACATTGAGCGCCATCTTTCAATGTGAATGAATGCTTGCTGCACAATATCACTTTTGTGTGTGCAGTAGTAGTCTGTGATATGTCTAGAGTCTGTGTAATTCCACGGTCTTCTGGTATTGACCATTTGGGACTTTCTAGTTTTTGTCTGTGTGTATCATCTATGTCAGACACACTAAAACCTAAACCTCTTATTATTTTCCTAATAATTTAGTAGTGACAAACTCCAAGAGGTAGAATTTTGGATTAAAGAGCATATATATACCTTTTCATGGCTTTTGATATGCGTCGCCAGACTGCCAACTTCCCACTCACAAGAGTACAAATTTATAGTCTCACTGAGTGCGTGTACAAATGATTTTTGTTTCTCTGTAACATTAATTTTTGAATACAGATTCAGAATTCCTCATCCAAAACTTTTAGGGACATATAGGTTACAGAATTCAGAATATTGTGTGATTTTTAGTAAGTTCACATGGTGCAACTGCTTTCTGTTCTGTAACATTCCAAGCAGAGTTGGACAAGTACCTTATAAATGAACGTGTGAGTATTTCTACAGCTAACCATGTGATTCATTAAAAGGTATACCTTAAAAAACCTGTAACACCAATGTAGAATACCTAAAGAAGTCTGTCTTTCAGAATGATCATGGGAACAAACCTTTAACTGAGTATTGATAATGGTTTGGTTACTGATGAACTTTCCATGTCCTACATCATTTTATCCTAATTACTCAGGATTTGAATTCCCTGTACTCTGACTCCAGCAATTCAGATCGTCTGTTTAACACATTATAAAAATAATTCACATTAAGGAGAATAACCATCTAATTGCTTTTCACCAAATCCCCTAAACTATGAATATTTGGCTAATAAAAATAATAAATTTGACTATACCTACTGAATGCCTTTTCCAAGCAGCTAAAGTGAAAGAATATATAAAAGATAGCAATGGAAATTATGGATATTTGTTATGTATAGGGCTCAGCACATGGATACAAACTTTTATAAAAAGTTTAATGTTATCTCATAAATACAATATCATATGAAAATAATATTAAATAGCATAAAGAGTAAAAGTCTAGTGTTGTTAACTTATGGATATAGTACTTTTTTTTTCTCTTTTCTTTGTGGTACTAGGAATCAAACCTAGGGCCTTTGTGTATGCTAGGCAAACTCTACCACTGAGCCACATCTCCATCCCATAGTATGCTTCCTAATGTCAGCGTCATCAAGAATTACATGATCAATTTTTAAAATTATCTATTATGGGCTAGGGATGTGGCTCAAGGGTTAGTGTGCTTGCCTGGCATGCGCAGGGTGCTGGGTTCGATCCTCAACACCACATTAAAATAAAAATAAAGATATTGTGTCCACTGAAAACTAAAAAATAAATATTAAAAAATTATCTATTATGATATCCATTATTTCTTCATTTATTTCTCTATCTTTGGCTCTCATTTTTTTGAGTAGATTAACTAGTTTTAAGCAAATTATAACAGAAGTGCAGAACTTTTTGATGATTTTTGCCAGATTTACAATGCCATAGGTACTTACTATATACTTTCTCACTTGCCATCATGAAGACCTCAGCAGAATTTAGGGGAGTCTGTTTTGCTTTTCATAAGATACCAACATGTTTTGTCTGTCTGTTTTCTTCCTATTTCCAAAGTAAACTATTAACTTCACGTTAAAATAAAATTATATATTACGAACACTTAAACTTTAAGACAAACTTTTTTTTTTAATTGGTACTGGGGATTGAACTCAGGAGTACTTAATTGCTGAGCCACATCTCCAGCACTATTTTGTATTTTATTTAGAGACAGGGTCTCATTGACTTGCTTAGTGCCTTGCTTTTGATGAAGCTGACTTTGAATCTGAGATTCTCCTGTCTCAGTTTCTCAAGCCACTGGGACTACACATGTGTGCCACTGTGTGTGCTTTTAGTGGTTTTTGATTCACACTCTAAGACACAATGATACACTATAGCTTTAATTTTCTATTATAAACAGCTGTTGTTTGTTTCAATTTAAATATTTTCAAGGATTGATAGGAGGAAGTATCAAAATATTCATAACAGAAAAATATATTTGACAACTCATGTTCAAAAAGCTATGTGCAGGTACATATGAATGTGTATGTATGTAAGTGTTGGTGTATGTGCATATGTGTGTTTGTGTGTGTTCCCTTAATATATTTTTCTTTTATCTGTAATAAGCAAAGAAGAAACTTAAAATTCATTTAACTGATCATAAAATTATACCTATTAATGGATTACTATGTGATGTTTCAGTACATGTATACTGTATGCCACATCTCCTCAAATATTTCTTAGGATAAAACCTTTCAAAATTCTTTCTTCTAATTTTAAAAATTGTACAGTACATAAATGTCACATAGTCCCCTTACTATGAAATAGCACATTAGAACTTTTCACTCCTATGTAAGTGTAACTTGATACCCATTGATTGAGATTTTTTTCGTTTCATTGTAAAGAAACATCTAGAATGCTAATAAAAACTTACAACATTGGCATGTTTTTCTTTGCTCATAAAAATATAATATGATAAACTTTTTAAGATTATAAACTTATATAATGAAATGTTAAGAATTCATCATCTTCAACATGATGAAAAATTAAGAATTAGCTATCACTGTGAAAAATATGTTTTTTAAAAAATTGAACTAGCTTTAAAAACCCACTGCTGCTTCTTTAAATTAAGCTAACAAATGAGACAATGAACTTCCATTATTGTACTATTTACCCAATCAGGGGAGCATGTAGCTTGGAGGTCTTGGGTTATTTAGAATACTGTATTCAACAATACCTCACAAATCTGCAGATGATTAAGGTCACACTGATAAAAGAATAACATACACTGCACAACAGGGAAAAATAAACACTTGAGATCAGCAAGGTTAATGCTGCATTAAGGACTGTTTTAATTGGGATTTTCTTCAGGCCATGGAACCATGTAGCAAACTCAGTGATTAGATTTATCTACCCTGCAGAAGTCTGTGTAAATGTCTAGATTAATCTGTAGTCAGTCATATCAGCTTTGTAAAATGGGAATAGAATCAAAAGATTAAATGGGCATTCAGTTCTGCATGGATTTGGCCACAGCCACATGCTCTATTTTTTATTAACCAAATTTTACTTCTATTTCATTTTTAGTTAGGTTTATTTTCATTACAGAAAAGCAGTTTTCAGGCATAAATGGGAAATTTGTAGAAATACAAATAGTATTCCTTATGAAAATGACACTTAAATACTGGACAGTATAGGAAGCCTAGAACTTGATATCGCAGGGTAGCTGGGAAAGATTCTTTTGTCTGTCTTTTGTACTATGTTCTCTGTATATCTTTGTCTTTTTCGCTCAACTCCTACCTACTGTGAATATTATTCCTTTGCATCTACTGATTGGCTATCTCTGCTTGTTTATCTTGCATGTCTTCAAATGGCCACTACCCACCTTGCTCTGTTACTTTCTATCTTAATCACTACTATCATTACTTTGGTCTCTGTTTTCCAATTCTATATCCCATCTTCTCACAGAATTTATTGATCTAGTTATTTTCTTCAAATAGATCCAAATTATTTAATCTGATCAGTCAATGTGCTGGCTGCCCCCAGGGCAAGAGTTCACTCAGGCAAGGCCCAGGGACTAAGTTCCTCTGTTAGATGCAGAGTCACCCAGTCACACAAAGAGCTATGGATGAGAGATACCACAAATATCTTTATTGTAAGAAAAATAGCTTTTAAGATAAAGAAAAAACATACTCTGATGGCATCAAAATAGATACTCCTTACTCTTCTAAATGATCTAATGCTTCAAAAATAATATCTACAATATTAGATGATCCATGGTTAACATTGGTAAGAAAAAATATCAATATTGTGATATCACATGATGAAAAGAATACAGATGTACTTCTGTAGTGTTC